AATTTTGAGGTGAATTGGACCCCTCTGTCAGAGATGATTCTCTGCGGGGCTCCATGAAGGTGATAAATGTGCATCAGGAATAACTTGGCTAGACTTTTGGCAGTTGGGATCATTTGGCAAGGTATAAAATGTGCCTGTTTTGAAAACAGGTCTGTTACGACTCAAATGGCAGTATTCCCCACACATTCTGGTAGTTCAAAATAAGGTCCATAGCAATCTCTTTCCAGGGTGCTGAAAGTTCAGCTACCTTCTGTAATAGTCCTGGGATTTTCCCTTGAAGTCTTTTAGCTGCCGCACAAATAGGGCAGTTGACTACATAACTCTCTATGTCCTTTTTTAGTGATGGCCACCAAAATTGCCTTTTACTTAGGAATAACGTTTTCACAAACCCAAAGTGTCCAGCTGATTTGGAGTCGTGGCATATTGCCATTAAGCACAGTCTTTGGCTAGCTGGAACATACAACTCCCTCCCACCCAAGCTAAATTATCTTTCATCGGGCAGCTGGATTTGTGGCTCAAAAACCATCCATTGACTAGTTTAAAAGTTTGAGTGGTGTCATTGTGCATCAATGTTTCTTTTTTTCCTGGGATCTGATGGTTACTTTAGCAGCTAGCTGATTGTTTTGTATCATGGGTTTGATTATGTCTGGCTTCATACTATTGTGTTGTGGGTTTTTTGGATAGTGCATCTGCCAGAAAACTCCCCCCCCCCCGGAGATATTTGAGCATAAATTTAAACCATTTAAAGTATTGAGCCCATTGTACTTGTTTTGAGGAGAATTTCTTTGGGGTCTTTAAGGCTCCTAAATTTTTATGATCTGTTCAGACTTCAAAAGGAATCTTACTCCCCTCTAGGAAATGCCTCCAGGTTAAAAGTGCCCACCAAACTGCATAAGCTTCTTTCTCCCAAATGGCTCATCTTTGCTCAGTTTCATTCAATTTTTTGGATGTGTAAGCACATGGTTGTAATTGGTCTTGCTCATTTTTCTGAAGCAGTATCACTCCTATTGCCACATCGCTGGCATCTGCTTGTATGACGAATAGTTTATCTGTGTCCAGGTGCTTTAGAATTGGCTCTGCTGAAAACAGCTATTTAAGTTTTTCAAATGCAGCTTGACATTCCATTGTCCAGTTCAAACACTGCTTCGGTTTCAGGTTACTCTCCCCCTTCGTTTTTAAAAGCTTGGTGATGGGGAGAGTGATCTGGGCGAAAGTGGGAATAAACTGGCAGTAAAAGTTGGCGAATCCCAGGAAGCTTTGTAACTGTTTACATGTTCTGGGTGGTTCCCAATCAAATACCACCTGCACTTTTAAAGGATCCATTTCTATGCCCTGGTGTGAAATGTGGTACCCTACATAATCGATTTTTTCTTGGTGGAATTCACATTTAGAGAGTTTAGCATAAAGTTTGGCAGAGTGAAGTTTGTTCAGAACAGCCTGGACTAGTTTTACATGTTCTGTTTTGGTCTCAGTATATAGCAAAATGTCATCTAAATATATCAAACAGCCCTTATGCAAATGCTCATGTAGCACTTCATTTATTATTTGCATAAATACTGCAGGGGCCCCTTGTAGCCCAAATGGTAGCACTTTGAATTGGTAGCATCCAAGAGGGATGTTAAATGCCATTTTCCATTCGTCTCGCACTTTAATTCTGATACAGTAGTAAGCCTCCCTTATATCCAGCTTTGATTTTTTTTCCTCTTTAGTGATGTGTGCTAGCATGTCTTTCATAAGGGGGAGATGAGTACATGTTCTCCACACTGATCATATTTAAGTTTCAAAAATCCACAGAGATGTTTAGAGTCATCTTTTTTTCTCTAAATAATACTGGGGCTGCAATTTATGGTTGGGCTGGCTCAATGAAACCCCTTGCTAGATTTTTCTGAATGAATGCCCTCAGTTCTTCCAGCTCCCTCAGGAACATGCTAAACATCTTGGGTTTAGGAAGTTTGACACCGGGTAGGATTTCTATCGTACAGTCAGAGGAGCAGGGGGGGGGGGTGATTTCATCAGAGGCTTTTTTGCTAAAAACCTCAGCCAAGTCTTTATATCCTTTGGGCATGCCTGGGTTGGCATAGTGTACGTGGGCATTGCTGTTTCTTGGTGCTCTGCCCCCTCAGTTTCTTTGTGTGGAGTCTCAGCAAGTCACATGCATCTGAACTCTTATGGTGATTTGCTTCCAATTAATTTTGGGGGTTCTATTTTTTCAGCCATTCAAGGCCCCAAACTAATGGCCATTCCATGCCCGGCACCACTATAAATGTAAGTATTTCTTTGTGGCTCATGAGAGGCTCGGTGGCAAATGAAGCTGCCCCCCCCCCACTGCTATTGACCCATCCAGTTGGCAAAAAGCTATGGGGCTTTTCAGTTTCCTTACATTAATCCTCAACTTTCTTACCAGGATTGGGCTGATCAAACAGTGGATGCATCCTGAGTCCACTAAAGCAAAGATTGTCATCCCCCTCTCCCAGTTGGGGATAAACAGTGTTGGGGGAGGGTAAACAATTTAATTGGGTTGCTTACCAGTGGTTCAACCTATGGATCACTTCCGGATGAGTATGGTTCCTCCTGCTGAGAAGCTGGGGTTTACACCTCAAAGAGGGGAGGGGTGGAGATTCTATTATCTCTCTGCTCCTCAGGGCCGTCTCCTTCCTGTGCTGGCCAGGTTTTGTAGGTCCCCCCCCCCAAATGGGCGCTCTGATTTCCTAGTTGGTGCTTGAGAATGGCAGTCTGCAGCTCGATACCCCTCCTTTCCACACTTGAAACAGGCTGAGGGTTTCAGAGAAGATGCTGTTTGTGGATTGAAAGCTTCTTACTTCCATTGGGTAAAGATTTTCTTCCACACTCACCCTGCTCGGTACTAGTTCCTGGCCACGTTGATCTCTGCCTTTTCAGCAGTGAGATACCACTCATGTAGGTGGTTCAGTGCACCTCAGGCCACGCAGGCATTGTAGAAGTCATCACTCAGCCCATCCTTGAACCAGCTTACCAGGATATCCTCTGGCCTGTATTCTTGCATGTAGGTGAGCACATGTGCCACAAAGAATTCCATTTTTTTCAGGTTGCCATCAAACTTCACCCCAAGGGAAGGAGTTTTTCTTTCTAATTGCAGATGTTGGGGTTGATTGGGAGTGGGCCCCAATCCACATGCCAACTGGGGGAGGGTTTGCTGGGTCCCCTGCTGCTGCTGTTGTGACATCTGCTTGATCAGCAGGGCCCAAAAGGGGGGGGGGTAGCTCCCCTGGCATCATCCACACCTGCTGCCCTTCCAGTACTTCTTGGTTTCCGTTCTGGCTCCCCCCGGATGTTGAGATTTTCCAAAATCTCCATCATCAACTGGGTTACATGTCTCTTCGGATGATCCTCTCTCAGCAAGGCTTCATTTAGCTCCTCCCAGTCAGAGGGGGCTTCTAACTCCAATTTCCACCCCGGTTTTCAGTTACCATGGGTGAGGTCCTCCTGGTCCTCCCATCCCAGCCTTCTTTTGTTCCAATCCCAATTGACCAGTGGGACTTTTTGAGGTCCTCCAGGTTCACCTCATCTTCTCTAACAGGGTACTTGGAGCAGGTCTCCAGTTGGGAGAGGCTTGACGACTCCCTCCAGCATTCAGCTTCCCCTTGTTTACTGTTGTGCTTGGATATGATTTGCAGGGTCCCCTTGGTAGAGCAAGGGTTGACTGTTTTGCAGAGATGTTGCTTTATGTAAGGGCTCCTCTCCTAACTTAAGAAAGTGAAGACTTTTGAAATGGAGTGTTTCAAAAGGAACCTTTCATTAAGAAGAATGGAAGCCACTAAATCCAAAACAACATATGAATCCCCTTAGGCAATGCAAGTAGAATTAAAGCAATAGAGACCCCCTCCCATTAGTTAGAATGCAGATTTTAGCCAATACACAAGTGTGAAGATGTTTCCTTTATCCACTGCCCTGAGAGCTGAATAAACATACATTCCCATGGCTATCTTCCATTAGGCGTTAAAGTGAAATGCCCCACATGGCCATCATAAACATTCCCCCAAAAGGTGGAGGGATATCAAGGCACTTCAGCACCAGGAAACCAGTTGTAAAATATCAGTTGTCACAGGCACTGCTAATAAATCGACTCCATGGTCCCCTCCTCCCAAAAGAATGGCAGTATCACTTTTAGGGATCTGACACCCATCCTACTAGTTCTTTGCAGATGTGGCTATTAAGTTCAAATAAAAAGAAAAAATGTAAGTTATATAGTAGCAAAAAAACAACAACAAACCAAAAACAAAGGCAGATCACTTCAATTTGGATTTTTCCAGAATGATTTCACAATCTTGTATAAATAAAACCTGTAATAACAACAGTTTTTGGTTCATATGAACACACTGATCACATCACAATAAGCAATTTTCCACATAGAAATATTAGTCTACATTTATTATAAAATAACATGCCATTTAGAAAAGCCATACAACAGCTTTTTCACATATATTAAAGCCTTTAGAATAATAGCATATGTTCCTTTATTCTAAAGATGCATAGCCTTTTCTAACTATTAATTTTTAAATACATAACAAAAGATGCAGGGGTGGGTTCCAGCAGCCGCTACTGCTGTTTTGCTATGGTTGCGCATTGTGCTGGGTGCACATGCACAGTATTAAAACATTGTGCATGCACAGAAGCCAAAAACAAGATGGCAGCACCTATGGCACTGCCGGGAGAACTGGTTTGGAGACGTGGTAGGCCTGGGTCGCTGCCAGTTCCAGTGACCCAGGCCGCCAAGTTACTACTGGTTTGGCCGAACCGGTCCAAACCGGTAGGAATCCACCTCTGAAAAGATGTAACTAAGATGTATCTGGAATAAAAGCTCCATAAATATTACATATAAGCACACATATTTAGACAAAACCCTCAGAGATGCAGCTCTTATTCTTGCTAATTTTTATCTGGAAAATTGCCTTTTAGAATTATGAACTTAAAATGTTCCATTTTCAAGAATACAAGTTTCTTTGCAGGCGTATTTCTCTTACCTTTTCACATTTAATTCTTTCTGATACTGTTGTAAACTGTTGGTTGAGCTCTATCAGTTTAGGTTCTATTACTTTCCTGCAGTGACCTCCATAGTTTGTCATCAAGTCAATTGCCTGGTCACGAACAGAGTCTACCTTTGGATGCATATCATTCAGCTCACCTTTTAAGCACTGCAAAACATGAGTAAAACACAGAGCTTTACATTAAATATAAAAACAGGAAAAAAGAAAGGAAAATAAAAAATCCAAGTATCCTGATAGCTACACACAACTGTCATATTTCTTGTAAACAGATTTATGTATGAACCAATTAAAGCATTACGTAGAATCTCCCCTTAAAAAAATAATTTAAAAAGGAGAATAAATTATTTGTAGCTATGAAGCAACATGCTTTTCAAAGTTTTCAATACAAAGACACAAAACCTAGTGAAGGGTATTTTACTTTTGGCATCATCTCAGAAACTTGTACCAAGTAAGCTGATGATTTAAGCTAAAATCTATTACCAATTGATGCTAAACATGCTGGATTTAGAATAGATTTTCTGGCCAGTTATGAGTAAAAGGAACCAAGATGAACTACTTACAGTAAAATCATTTAGATCTGAATCCGAATAAACCCTATTAATGTTTAATACTATAAAATGAACAACTGTTTTTAAACAAATTACATATTTGTAGTTCTTTAATTTCAAGAATTGCCTGCTGATAAATATTCTCTTCTTAAAGGACTTTCAAAAATACATCATGATGATTTTAGGGATATTTCCATTCTCCATGAAATAAGTTTAAATCAAATAAACTGATAATTTATTTGCTAAATTATTAATGGTTTGTACAGTGTTATAATTTTGGATTTAGGAAAAATAATAGTTTACATTTCTTGAGATAGTTGGAGATTTCCAGAATATTTAATTATGTACACTGTTTATAGTGGCAATGATTCAAGAGCTTTTAAAATTCTCCAGTCCTAATTACTAATATTACTTTAATATTATGAAAACATAGAAATCACTTAGAACGCAGGTGGGGCTTGACGTCGCAACAACATGACTTGTAATCTTGGGTCTCTAAGATTTCTGTCGATATCTCTGTTTCTGGATGGTCCTTTTGGACCTAAACTGTTCTGAAGGAACAGTGATAGAGAAGACCATGTCCTGCTGATCTCAGGGGTATCACAAAGCCCCTGATTGATCCAGGAGAAAGCTCTTTTTGCCAGCTACAAGAGAAGCAACCAAAATGGCTGCCAAAGGTTGGGACAAGCCTCTAAAACAGAAGCTGTGCAGGAGTGTGTATCGAATTGGTGAGAAAAAAAATATTATTAGAGAAGGGAAAACCCAAAAGAATTGGAATTTAAAATAAAATTGAGGATAGAAAAAAAACAAGTGGTGAATGGTTTAAGATGATTGTGTTATCTTTTCTACTTTAACTTTATTTGTTTTCTATGGATGGACTCTTTACAAATGCCTCTTACTTTTAAACTGGACTGGTCTCTTTTTCTTCCTTCTTCCTCTATACTTTCTCCATTTTTTGTATTTGTGGATTAAAAGCTTCTTCTCTCGTAAGGCTGGGACGCAGTGTAATTTTTACAGTTTTTTTNAAAAAAAGGGGGGGGGGTTAAAAAACTTTCACAGAAACCATGATTTGTACAAATTATAGTGTATACATCTATTTATTCATATCTCACCTTATTAATTTTACAAATAACTCAAGATGGCAAACTTTCTCCTCCTATTTTTCCCATAACAACAACCCTGTGAAGTGGGTTATACTGAGACACAGTGACCCAAAGTCACCCAGCTGGCTTTCATGGCTAAGGCAAAACTTGAACTCATCATCTCCTGCTCTACAACTAGATTTTAATTCTTTTCCACAAATAACATATATAACCAATATATAGGTGCATAGTTATAATTCATGATAAATTCTCAAGTGTTTTTAAAAATCTAATGGACAGTTATTGCAAAGACAGAAATGCTTTTCTACTGACTAATATTATGATATTTCAAAGACCTTCCAGTATTAGACTTATAGTTCTTCAACTAATATAACAGCAATTCAAAGAGGTATGTTCAAGTATGGCATAGCTATTGTCACAAATAACCTGATTTGAGCAAGGTTTCACTGGAAATATGTTAATATAAATTTATGATACAAGTTTAATTACCTTTCCTAACTTACTAGGGAATTTTCCATAAATTCTGTATCCAAAGCTAAATAATTTACTTCTAGTCTGATTACATTGCATACATTGAGTTCGATCAATAGCAGTAGACTTATATACCGCTTCATAGGGCTTTCATTGAGTTCGATCAAAACTTGATAAGACCAGATTTATTTATCATATGGATACCATGAAATAACACATATTTATTCCCTAATTGACATTGTAATAAGTTCTTTTGAATTACCTTGTTGGGTTTCTGGCCCTCTGGAGACAAAGTTTTGCATTTTTCTCTAAGACAATTTTAATCTGGTTATCACAATATCCCCCTTCTTCCTGATTTTTGTACTGGCTAGTATAGAGCCTTGAATAGAAAGCTTCTTTAATTTCTCTGTCTTCAGGAAGTCATTTCTTGGGGCTTTCTGTTTTCCTGAAATGAGACTTTTATTGCTCCCTGCAGTTTTCTTTGATCACTATTTGTCATTGTCTATCTCTTTATTAAGTTTGCCTTTTTAAAGGATAAATAGCTGTCCCTCCAGGCTTTCTTTCCATCCTTACTCTCTCAGTTTTTCTTTCTGTTTCTTTGCCATTAACTTATTCCAAAGGCCATGTGAAAAACATTCATGCCTACTTTGGATCTACCCCATTTTCCTAATACAACCATCATATTTAGACAGTTTCAGTCCTGATCTAATATAAATAAAAAGTTCCAAGCAATGTATGCGATTCAATAATAATTACATTCTGCCTATTGTTTTTTGAGTAGCCAACTGGATTTGATACTTGCTCTACAGGCTCTCCCAATAATTTAGTTGACTGTCTTTCAACAACAATGAATGAATGAATGAATGAATGAATGAATGAATGAATGAATGAATGAATGAATGAATGAATGAATGTACCCTTATATAGGCCAATTGCTGGATTGGTCAGTTACTCTTTTTT